TTTTGAATATGCCAGATGCTGGTAAATTCTGGCTGGGATCTAAAAGACCACATCAAACACTATGTGAAAACTGAGGCAATTCACCCCCCTTTGCAATGTTTGAAATGCCTGAACACATTTTCTACCTATCTGTGAAAAATATGGACCACATGATTGGTTTCTCGGAAATCAATGTCTTGCAAAGCATTCTTTCAGCAAATAGTTAGATTTGCCAACCCACCTTTGAATGCAAAAATCCTACGTGTTTGGAGACCAAGCCTTATGATTAGTAGTATAATAGATCTCGGGTAAAAGTCACTATTACATTTTTTCAAAATTCCAAGATTGGCAATATCAGTTTTTATTGAAGGGTTATTTTTTGCTCCAGTGGCATAACTGAAATGCTTTTGCTACTTAGAAAAAATAATCTTCCTGAAATTATAATTCTTTGCCTAACTCCAAAATTGTTTGAAAAAATTCGATGGATTACATACACAACCTAAACATATAGTGCTAAATATAAAGCAATGCTTCCCAACATGACGCTGTTAGGTCAACCTATTAAAACATGTGGTCTTTTCTTTGTAATATTACTTTCACTTCTTCCTAGCAATTTTCAATTGCAAGCATGCAAAGGTTTAACAAGTTCTAGAAACATTTCTTTTTTTGCTGCAATAACTTTAACATGCATTTTAAGATTTAAATTGAGCTAACTATTGGCTACTTTTCAGTTTCTTAGCTGTAATACAAACTCTCAATCTTATATTCAGGTTTCCTTTAATTCATCTAAATAAAGAGCTGAACTTTCTCTTAGAACATTATTTATCATGATCATATTTCAGCTAAAATGTGAAACAGATTGCATTATAGTCAGTGGCACCTCAACTACAGCATATGCTCTGAATCAACTTTTCCCATCAATACATTATATTATTGTAAATCATGTCAGATTGATTTTGGAGTAAGATGTTTGATTTTTTTGAAGTAAGATCATATTTACTATTTAATTGTTCATTCATGAGATTTTCCTGCACTGACCTATTTATGTCTAAAAGTTTCCCTTTTTAATTTATAGCTCAGTATACTGTTCGTATAGAAGATAAATGCATGCATGATGATACTTATCAGCTGTTGTTGTAAGTTTGGATCCAGTTAAAATAAATTTAGGTCCCTAGTCGAGGACCTCTGAAATAAAGCTCTTGATCAACTTTCTAGGAACTTCTTCCTGCAGTGTTTTGTTGGTCTGCTGCAGCTGTGTCACATTCATGGATATGGATAAAACAGTGAGACACACATGTAGGCTTTCTGTATAGTGTGGATGGAAAGTTACTCACCACTGTTTCATTTATAGCTTAAGCTTTAAAACAAATCATTACTGATTGGCTAGCACAATTTCTATCTGTCTGAAAGTGGCTAAGTAAGTAAAAACAGAATATGAAAAGGGGGGGGAGGATTGTTGGATTAAAAACAGAATATGAAAGATGAACTTTTAGTAATATGTGAAAAAAAGGTGAAAGAAATCCCATTAGTCACAGTAGAGCATCAAGATGGTTCTGATCACACTTGTAGATGACCTCCGATGGGATAGGAGTGGCATTCTGGTTATAATACAATTTGAAGTGTTGACTCACTTATAAATCTCTACACGATTTAGCAATTGGTAACTTTTGGGATCTGCCTGACCAGTAAAATCTGGACCAGTTGGCATGCTCCAAGTTCCAGCTATAAAAAACTGTCATCCTGTGGAATCTAGGTGGTGTATCTCCTCTAAAACTTCACATGGTTCATATAGTCTTGGCCCAATTGAATTAGTTCTTTCAGTGGGATAGGTCAGTGTAATGATTTACTCCTTTGTAGTTTATTCCCAATTATTATAATTATATTGAATTGGTTATTTTCCCTAATAAATAGCTACTTACTATTTTGTATTTTATTACTTTCAAAGTTGTTTTAATTTAAAACAGAAATTGCTTTTCGCTTTGGTTACACCTGTGTTTGAGACAACACATAGATTGATAAATAGGTAATTCTTGTGTTGCTTGATAAAACAATAAAATCACCCCTGAGATGGGATTCCTGATTCTAGATACAACATATAGTAACTTTTTGTATATAAGCTCATATATATAAACATCTAGAATGAATTTAAAGCAGATACATGTCTAATACCTAGTAAACATGCCCACAAATGATGTAGGGTAAGAACTTTTAGTTTAATGTCAATATTAGTTGAATTTTGATTAGAATTCTTTATTTCCTAAATGTTAAAAGAAATTTCAAAACCTATTTGTAATTAAAGATAAATTGAATTTCTTCATTTTATGGCAGTAAACACTTTTGTGAGTGACATTCTTATTGGTAAAAAAGCAAAACCATCTGCTAGAATAATGAATGGATTGACATCAGGGTTCAGTGAAAGGGGAGCCAAAAGCTTATCAGATAGGCCTCTGCTTGCCCTCCTGTATAGTAAGTGGAAAATGAAGCACCATTTTCATGGGTGGCTTTGTCTGCTAATGCCTGGTATAAAAGGCATTAAGAAAATAAGAATGATATAGATCCATGAAACTTCTTAGATTTTACATAGTTCCGGGGGGCAGGTAATTTCATTACTCTCAGACCCTTCCAGAGCTAGTGTTCAAATATGCTTGAGAGATAATTTAATTGATTCTGTTTTTTTTTTTTAAATCCTTAAACACAATATTGATATTTAATTAGAAAAAGCACCCTACCTGAAATAGGAGCTAATTTAACTATAATTATTAAGAAAAAAAAATGATGTCATTCTTCCCAATCTCAGTGTGAAACCACTGCAACACTATTGTGACCTAAGAGAGATAAATGTAATACTCAAACCCCATATTTTATTAGCTAACATCAGTGTATAGGGTTTTGCAAAAGCCTTGGCAAGGTAGTTCACATGCACCTAAAAGAAATATCCTCAAACTCTTAACTCTGATTCCTAGTCAGTGGAATGTTCTGCCTATTATTGCTGAGAGTGTTTCATAGATAGGAAAGGAAAAAGGTGGTTTGTGCACTGGGTTGCATTAAAAGCCAACCCATTAATCAGTGTTATTGCTTCCATCTTTTGGAAATTGGTCTTGCAATTAGGATATTTTCCCCCCCTTTACTTTGTTCCTGAAACAATCTATTAAAAAAAAAGTAGAGGCGCCTGTCTAAAGAGTACATCAGGCTTATCCTGTCTAATCAGTCTAATTACCCTTTCAAGCCTTCCACTGATAGACTCGGTAATGAATCATAGCTATCAATAAAGAAGGCTAAACAGAATGGATGTTCCATGTCAACTAACAGCATCCAAAGTGTATCATCAGCTCCTTTGTAATGCATTTAGGAAACATTAGTTTAGGTGATGAGACTAATGGAAGGAGTACTGACACAGTTGCAAATGTTGGCAAAGCAGAGTGAAATATTATACAGTGATGATGGCATAACAAGTAGTAATTGCATTGTTTTTATGAAAAACTTTAAAGGCAAACTAATGACAATCTTCCCATTATTTTTCTCTCATTAGATGCAAATCCCTGGCAGCCAAAAGCACTACAACGATTCCAAATTCAGAGAAATAATTCAATCCCGTTTGCATCAAGGTAGAAGATTTGTTAATACAACACTCTTTACAATAAAGAGTAACTTTCATTTAATGACTCATTGGGTCATCCTTTCAGAGATGTTTCCTTAGCAGATTCTTCAATACCTTCAGCAATGACAGAACTTCTAATGTACAGCACTGCCTTCATTGGAAAAATTGGGATCTATTCAGAGATGTACATGTTTTCAAAAAAGCCCATATTGAACTGTATAGCAGTCAAACATCAGTGCCGGGAATGTTTTGTGATATTTTGTATTATGTCATAAACTGTTTTATGATAATTTTAATGTCATAAAATACATAATTTTATGTATAAAAAGTTTTATAACATTTGCCAAATTTCAATTCGATAGAAGACATGGGACCCAGATTTTGAACACATTCTGTAAGTTAGTTTGTTTGAGACATCTTAGTTCAAAAATGGTTGCCCTAAGATGGAATAAATTCACCCAGTTAAAGGTTACAGGTACAAGAGTATTATATAGAATTCCTTAGACACATGTTATTAAAATGGAAGACACCTTTCTGGGTTCTGTCTTTTGAATATTACATATTCATTACCATTTATTTATATATGATTCTACATTTGGAAATAAACAACATAGAATTATATAATATTTGAACTGTTGGTAACTTGACATTGGGGTGAAGGGAGAAAATATAGAGGGACTTAAGCTGAAAACTTAAACTGTAATACTTGAATATCTTTCATGCTTGTTCTGATTACATTTGACATACTTGTTTACTTGTTTGCTTTGTGATTTTGACCTGATCTAATATTAGGTATTAGATCTAATAATCCAAATACTCTAGTTAATATGAAGACTGTACACTTTAAGAATTTTTTTTAAAATCAGGTCAAGGATGTCTACATGAAAGGAATAAGAAGGTGAAGGCCTGCTCTATGACATTGAGACAAATATTATATTTGGATTTAAAGGATCCAGTTGGTGATTGTTATCTGCCAATGTTTCTTTTGAAAAAGCTATCTAGCAACTGGCCTCCACATGTTGCTACTTTTATTAGATGTATCTATGAACTTTTTGTAAATGAAAGGATCCTCCAGTCCCAGGAGGCTCTAAGTCAGTTGAGGAATCCCACAGACCAAAATGGGCAAAGGAAGCAGTGATATCATTGATTCTTCCACCATCCTGAAGTCTCCTGGGCATTTGTTCCAGGAGGTAGGGAGATCGTGAGGAACAGATGGGGAAAATGTCTGGGCTTCCACTGGGAGGGAAATTCCATATAGGTTTCACTAGGTCATTTGATCTTTTCCCCACATTGCCTCACAAAGAGCCATTGCCTTTGGCTCTTGTGATATTGACATAATTCTGACGAACTCAGGGTAGGATAAATCAGATTTCTTCAATATTTCATACTTTGTCATAAAATATACTACCTTATACATTCTTACCTGAAAGTTACCAAAACAGCTTCCTCCAGGCAGGGTGACATAACTTACAAACGGAGGCCCAGGCAAGTTTAGTGACTCATATACCACAGTGCCTTCACTTGAAAATACACCTTTCTGTTTCTGTTTGTTCTCCCAGAATTCCTGAAGCATTGCCACAACGTTCACTATCAAAATATAGGAGTGAATGTTTTAGTCACAATTCATTGCCTAAAACCCTATATTAATAGCAAAACAAGAGTTATACCACTGTTGAACTGATCAACCTGTAGCCAGAAAGCAGTTGTCTAGGCAGGGGCTCCCATTTTTGACGACTGGAACATGCATGGACTTTAATTCCCAGAATTTCTCAGCCAGAGGGAATTTTGGTAGTTGAAGTCCATAAATGGGAGCCCTGTTTTGGGTCATCCAAATGTGATTCAATATTTGAAGTATTCACATAGACTGGCATTTTTCATTTTCCAAATAGGAAAGTTGATTAGTTAAAGTAGAACTTCAATAATTATTTCAACGTTTCTGATTTCATAAGAATCGAGTTGGAAGAAGCATACTATGTCATTGAGGCCAACCTACTGTTTAGTGCATGGATCAAGATGAAAACACAGTTAATTGCTGTCTAGCCTGTATTTGAACATCTCCAGGGAAAAGCAGGCTACCAACTTTCTGGAAAACTGGTCCCACTGATGAACTATTCTTACTTTTTTTGGGAAGGGGGGACGGGATCCTAATATTCAGTTGGAATCAGTATTCACTTCCTATCACTTAAATCCATTCCTCTTGGTAGCATGACAGAACACAATTAATGTTGCTAGTTTCTGGGCAAGATCTGTTTAATTTGTACATATTTTAATGTGCAGTATTTTATGTTTTAAATTTTGTCATATTGCTTGGCTTATTTTAATTGTGATGCTTCTGTCATGAATAAATTAACCAACTTAAATCCATTACAGAATTTCTTGTCTTGCACTCTGGATTTAGAGAGAACAAGTCTTGATCATTTCCTGTGAGATTATTACATTTCTTTACAATATGAACTGGAAACAAGATGTACAGAATACAAGAACTTCTGATTAGATTTATTATAAAACAGCTAATGGAGCCATTATGAAATAATCCCAGCAATAGCTGTGTATTAAATACAAAATCCACTTAGAGCAAAGTCAGGATTCAGATTCCTACATCTCTTTCTACTGCCCATGGAATGTAACTCAGAGAAGCCAGTGTCTTCTGGGTTGAAAGGACAATTTCCACCTGCCTCTTGTTTGGATAATAGACTGTTGTAGTAACAGGCTGACTGTTTTATGTAACTCTCTGCACTTTATAGACTTGCATGCAACATCTCAAAGATACATGAAATTTTAGTTAACATTCACATGTTTTCTTCCCTTTAATTGTAAAGACAACTGGAGCTAAGTTTATTAAGATTAGACAATATGTTTCTTTCTAGCCTTCAGATCTTTTGACAAGAAGATATAGTGTGTGTGTGTGTGTGTGTGTGTGTGTGTGTGTGTGCGTGTGTGTGTGTGTGCATGCTTCTATATTTCAATTCTTGGAAAAGCTTGATCGAATTGCAACAGGATATAAAAGTAATAATAATTAAGTGATACCTTTCTTAATATTTCTCACACTGTCAGGAAATTTGGTTTGGGGATAAAAGAGTAAATTAAATCAAAATGGTAACATGCATAGAAAAATAACACAAAACTCTATAGCAGCGATGGCGAACTTTTCTGTCCTCACCTGCCGAAATTGTGTGTGTGTGTATGATAGTGTGCAGGGGCGTGCCCTCCACCCACAATGCAATGCGCCCCACCCACCTTCTCAAGTGCATGTGAGCCCGGAGCCCAGGGGAGGCCATTTTCTCCCTCCCAAAGACTCTAGGAAAGCTTCTGGAGCCTGGGAAGGGTGAAAAATGGGACTTCTGGAAGTTCTGTTTTTCACCCTCCCCAAGCTCCAGAAGCTGTCCTTGAGCCTGGGGAGGGCAAAAATGGTCTCCCCTGGCCCTACGGAGAGCCTGAAAATCAGCTGACTGGTGCACACATGTGCGCTGTAGCTGACAAATGGCAATGGCTCACGTGCCCGCAGAGATGGATCTGCGTGCCAGCTGTGGCATGCATGCCATAGTTTCACCATCACAGATCTATTGCATATTGTGCAGAGATGGGTTTCAAATTCCAGCACTACCAGTTCGCTCATGCTTGCGTATGCACTTGTTCGTGGGCAGAGCCCCCTGCCGCCCCCACTACTGGTTCTGCTGATCCGGGACAATCCAGAAGCAACCCACCTCTGATATTGTGGCCAACCAGTGTGCATCAAGGCAAAGCTCAAATGTCATGTTCAAAGTATCAGTTGCATAGATTTCTCCTTTTAGCTTATTGATCTCCATGTTACAACAAAGTAATGTCTTTTCAAACTAGCTTTCAGCTGACCTCACCTGTTTCAGGTCCATTTAAAATTTAATGGAGGAAAATGTGAGAGTGTGCTATACGTAGCTGTCTTTAGTGCATAGCTGTGTAGTAAATTTCTGATGAAGAATACCATATGAAGCCATTCCTATAGAATAGGTTCTCAATTGCTATTGAAACTCCATGCATTTTACATCATTCTTATTCTCTCTTTGTCTTATGTCATCCATCAAAATGTTGATAGCTATTTCAAAGAAGTATATAGTCTGGCTATATTGAACAGCTTTATATAAGAATACCATAATGCTAAATATTTTTGTTTCACCATCCTGTTATAGATAATCTAATGCAGTGGTTCCCAAACTTGGCAACTTTAAGACTTGTGGAGTTGAAGTCCACAAGTCTTAAAGTTGCCAAGTTTGGGAACCACTGATCTAATGGAAGACCTCCAACTCTATCAAAAAGCCTTCTTCAACACGGAGCAATTCAGACTTCAAAAATTACCAGTAAGATTAGCTTTCTGGATTTGCTGTCCCAATGAATTAGAAAGGTATCTGATTAGGGAAAGGCTGTTATAAAATATGAGTAAAAAGGGGGTTGATCTACTTGTCAGAAGAGCAAAAAGATCCAAATAAACAAAAACTAAAATAGAAACAGGTGATTGTATAATAGTACCGTAGAATTAAGATTTGACAAAGAAAATTAACAAAATTGATTTCTGATCACCACCAAGGGATACTACTTAATCTCTTTGTCCTTAAAGCCTAGCATTGTCTATGACTTATGATCATTTTTCAAAGTTATGACCTTTGCAGTATCCCCATGATCATGTGATCAAAATTCAGATGCTTGGCAGCTGATTCATATTTATGACTGTTGCTTTGTCCCAAGGCCATATGATCACATTTTGTGACCTTCTCAGAAGCAAACTCAATGGGGAAGCCAGATTCACTTAATAACAGGTAACTAACTTATCAGATGCAGTGATTCACTTAATGACTGTGTCAAGAAAGGTTGTAAAATGGGGTAAAACACAATATGTTTCACTTAACAACAGAAATTTTGAGGTCAGTTGGGGTCATAAATCTGCATAATTCAAATTGTATTTTATTTACTTTGACTGTATTCACAAAGCTAGGACATGCATAATACATACGTACACATGCGTTAGTGCCCTTAGTTTACCCATTAAGAGCCGTGGTGGCGCAGTGATTAGAATGCAGTACTGCAGGCTAATTCACTGCTCACTCTAGGAGTTTGATTCTCACTGGCTCACGGTTGACTCAGCTTTCCTTCTTTCTGAGGTTAGTAAAATGAGGACCTAGATTGTTGGGGGTAATATGCTGACT